TAGAGAGTCATGGGGTCCTTGTGAGGGATGCCTATGTCATGAAGTAACTGTCGTATCCAAACTAGTTCACATGTAGTGACGGCCATAGCGCGATATTCAGCTTCCGTGGATGAGCGAGTGACGGTGGTTTGTTTCTTAGTGCGCCACGAAATGGGACTAGAACCAAGAGTGATGAAGAAGCCAGTGGTAGAACGTCTAGTGGTAGGACAACTGGCCTAATTAGAATCAGTATAAGTATGAATATCCAGATCATTTGAGGAAGTGAAGAAGACGCCTTGACCTGGAGTGCCTTTGATGTAGCGAAGAACTCGTGTGGCAGCTGTCATGTGCGGAACCCGGGGTTTATGCATGAATTGACTGAGAATGTTTACTGCAAAAACAATATCGGGTCTGGTGATGGTGAGATAAATGAGGCGCCCGACTAATCGTCGATAAGGACCGGGATCAGGGAGGAGGTCGCCATCGGTGTCGCTGAGTTTTAGATTATGTTCCATAGGAAAGGGAGCAGGACGAGAGCCTAGTAGTCCGCTGTCAGCAAGAATGTCCAATGCATATTTTCGTTGATTAAGGAAAATACCTGAAGATGATCGAGCAACTTCAAGGCCAAGAAAGTACTTGAGAGGGCCGAGATCCTTAAATTTGAAGTGAGTAGAAATAACGGATTTGAAGTGAGTAACCTGAGGAAGATCATTGCCGATGACCAAGATGTCATCAACATAAACGAGCACAATGGTAATGTTGGTGGCTGTAATGATTGCGATTGGACAAAACCTGCGGTAAGAAGAACGGATGTTAGTTTAAAAAACCAGTTCCTGGGAAGCCTGCTTGAGACCGTAGAGAGATTTTCGAAGGCGGCAAACACGTGTCTCCCCCTGAAGACAATAACCGGGTGGTGGTGTCATATAAACTTCTTCATCAAGATCACCATGTAAGAATGCATTGTTAACATCCATTTGGTGGATAATCCAATGTTTGGCAGCGGCAATTGCAAGAACACAGCGAACTGTGGTCATTTTGGCAACTGGGGCAAAGGTTTCACGATAATCAATGCCTTCAACTTCAGTGTAGCCTTTTGCCACGAGTTGAGCTTTGTAACGCTCAATGGTACCATCTGCTCGGAGTTTAGTTTTAAAAATCCATTTGCAACCGATGGGCTTTTTACCAGGTGGGAGAGGCTCTAATGTCCAAGTGGAGTTTTCTTCTAGGGCACGGAGTTCAGAGGTCATAGCCTCAAGCCAATGAGGGTGGCGATTAGCTTCTGAATAACATGTAGGATCAACAGAGGTAGTAAGTGCAGTTAAGAAAGAGAAATGGTTAGGAGAAAAACGAGAATATGAAAGAAAAGTAGATAAGGGGTAAGAAGTACCTGAGGCCTGTGTAGCGGTTGAAGTAGCAATGGACTCCGTGGCAATATGATGGTCGAGTGATAGTGCGGCGTGGTCGACAAGTGGAAGGAGCGGGAGGGTTGGAATCAGGAGGGTTAGGGTCTGGAGGGGTAGGAACGAGAGGGGTGAAATTAGGGGTGGGGATTATGGAAGTCGAAGTATGTTTTGGGATAGGAAAAGGAATAATAGTATTGTTTGGTGCATGGGGAGGGGTATGATTTTGGAATGGAATTTGATTTTCATGAAAAGTGACATCGCGAGAGTAAAAAATGGCATGTGTATCAAGATTGTATAATTTGTATGCTTTTCGGTTGTTCGGGTAACCAAGAAAAACACAACGGGATGCACATGGAGAAAATTTGTCTCGGTGGGCAGTAAAAGTTTGAGCATAGCAAAGGCAACCAAACACCCAAAGGTGATTGTAGTGTGGGGGAGTTTTTGTGAGTAATTGAAAAGGACTTAGATTTTGAAGGGATTTGCTAGGAGTTCTATTGATAAGGTAAGCAGCTGTAAGAATACAGTCGCCCCAAAAATGTAGGGGTAGATGTGCTTGAAAACGAAGACTGCGAGCAACATTCAAGAGGTGATAATGTTTACGCTCTGTAACACCATTTTGTTGAGGAGTTTCAACACAAGTACGCTCATGAATGATCCCATGGGTATGAAGATAGTTTTGGAGAGTTTGAGAAAGAAATTCTTGGCCATTATCGGTACGGATAAGTTTGACATTGGAATTAAATTGATTTTTAACAAGGGCAAAAAAATGCATTAAGTGAGTAAATGTTTCTGATTTAAAACGCATTAAATAAATCCAGGTAGTGCGTGAAAAATCATCTACAATTGTTAAAAAATAGTGAGCACCACAAATAGAAGTAGTAGAGTAACCACCCCAAATATCACAATAAATTCGATTAAAAGGAGTCGTACTTTTATTAGCAGGATTGAGAAAAGGTAAACGGGTGTGCTTAGAACGAGTACAAACATTACAATAAGAAAGAGTACAAGGACTATCAAAAATTGTAGGGATAGTAAAGCTTGACGGGTGACCTAAGCGTTGGTGCCATAGGGTCTTATTGTCAAGATTGTGTATGGAAAAAACGGCAGATTTTTGTGGCCGGAGTATATAGAGCCCATTGCAAGCTTCACCCGCTCCAATCAGCCTCTTCAATTGCAGGTCCTGAAAAAAACATTCAGTGGATGTGAAGAAAACATGACAGGGTTTAGTGCAAGTGAGTTGAGGGATAGAGAGGAGATTATAATTAAAGTGAGGGACACAAAGGACATTGTGCAAGGTTAAAAAATTAGATAGGCAAATTGTGCCTATTCCTTCAATGGGAACCACATTTCCCGTGGGCAGCCGAATCGTGCGGCTTGGGGGTGGCGGTCGAAGGTCCAAGAAGGAGGATCAACAGGGGCTCATATGGTTAGTGGCGCCACTGTCGATTATCCAATCAATTTGAGGATCGAAAAAAGAGAGTTGAGGACGAGTTACCAATAAAATTAGGATTTGGGGATGGGTTTTTCAGGAGAGTCATGAGTTGTTGATAGCTCTCTAGCGAGAGCCCTGGCACTGGACTGGAGGAAGTTTCGGCGAGGAAAATGGTTGCGGAAGGAGGTTTTCCGAGCAGTGATGGCTTCCGGTGGTTACGGGGTTCGCGTCCAGGGGATAACCAATTATCAGCCAGCAACGGTTACGCAAATGCCCATCTTTCCCACATTCGGTGCACTTGAGAGGTGGCCGGTCAGGATGAGAACTCCGACCAGCGAGAGCTACATTTTTCGATGGAGTGCGTGAGACATGAAGAAGTCTCTGCTGTTCTTCTTGAAAGAGGATGGAGAATACTTTGTTCAGGGATGGGAGAGGATCAGTGGCAAGAATCTGGGATCGAAGAGCAGTGAATGAATCGTTGAGTCCCAAGAGAAATTGGAACACCCGCTCGTCCTCAGCTCTCTTCTCCAAAGTGGTGGCATCTGCTGGTGTTTGTATAATGCCCAGTTCATCCCACAATTGCTTGATGTGATTGTAATAATCCGGTATGGATGAATGATTTTGATGGAGGTTGGATATTTCACTTTTGAGATGAAAGAAGCAGGCATTATTGCCGTGGCAAAAACGAGATTCAAGGTCATCATGATAGTCCAGAGAATTTGCTAGAGGGGGAGTAATGGTGTTGAGGATCCAAGTGAAGACCATGTCCTTGGTACGGCTCCATTGGGCATAATCGGTTGAAGTAGAGGATGGGGCATAATCGGTTGAAGTAGAGGATGGGGCTTTGAGAGTGCTATCAACAAAACATAATTTGTTCTTGGCATTGAGGGCTCGATGAAGGGCACGTTGCCATTTGGGGAAGTTATCACCGGTGAGATGGCCGGAGATGAGAATAAGACTTGGAGAATCAGAAGGATGAAGATGATATGGGGATGAGATTTCAGAAGTAACTTCAGAGGAGGAATCCATTTGGGATCAAACAATAGAAGGATAATCAAACAGTAGAGAGGGATTTCAGGATCAAGGTTGGCTCTGATACCATGTTAGAAAGAAAATTTAGCTGGGAATGTTATATTTTTCATTGAATCTGTACGTCAATATATATGGCTACACATGCCTTAGCTTTACATGGAAAGGAATAAATGTTGACTGTGCAATTATCTAATTACAAGGGATTGCCAGAATCACGTGTGCAAATCATGGGATTGCTAGAATCATGAGGACAAATTATGTGCTGTAATACACCGTTGAGAAAAACCATTTCTATCTGTGAATTTCTTTCCCTCTTTGTGATTTTTATGAGAAAGAGAGAGAGGTTAAGATAAAGGTAGAGAAGTGGAAGATAGAGTTATGGAATTATAATTTTGGAAGTGGCTTCCACACCTATAAAGGGATAGGTGGGAAGAGGAGATGGCGACGAAGGGGCAGTGGTGGGAAGAGAGATAGATGGTAGAGAAATGAATTTATTTTAGGTTTTAATTTTAATTATTTATTTGAAACTCGTTCGCATTTTTTTAAAAAAAGTTTAAGACTACCGTTGGAATTAGTTCTTTGTTTTTTTCTTCTTTTCTTTTTATTTTATTTAATAGGAAGATATATTTGTCATTTTAAGATTTTATTGAGAAAATAGAAAAAAAAAATGGGGTCTTCAGGACCTCAAATGTCATATAGGTGGGTTTTCGGCCAATTTGAAAATGTAGGGTGTATTTGCAATAGGTTCATACGTTGGGGGTATTGTATCAATGAGCCCTAAATAATATGTAACATTAAAAAATGTATGATTTGTGACTAAATTTATGACTGTGACCTACATTTGTGTCTTTGGGATCGATAAATAAATTATGACCAATTAATTTGATATTTTTTTGTCGATGATAAGTTGAGATAAATTAATTTTATAATTTTGTGATCGATAAATGAGTTGTGATCGATTAATTTGATAATTTGTGACAGATAATTGTGAATTATAAAAACGTGTAATTTGCGATTAAATTTGTAATTATAATCTACAATTGTATTTTTCTAACCGTGACATTGTGTAGTTTGTGACGACAAGTGATCATGACTTGTTTAATTAAATTATAGTCATAAACTTTCATCGGAAGTCACAAAATATGACCACTTAATTTTGAAAAAAAATAATAATAATCGAGATTTTAGAACGATAGAGAGAGAAAATGGGAGGTGAGAGAAAAATTATTAAATGATAGAGTAATGTTATTCAACACCACTGGTAACAAACATCAGTTTAGGTGGCAATTAGATGTTATTAAATGATAGATTCAATTAAATATAATGGCACATGACTTTTTTGATTAAACATATTTGTATGATTATTCTGTAAAATCCCATAAGCGTATGTGATCGTTAACAAGTAATAAATAAAGTGAGTTAAGAGTTATCGTCACATGAGAAATAATGTTTAATTTCGATCTACTAGTTATTATCAAGTTCGATAAAGACTAATATCAAAGGAGATTTGTTGTGATTTTCTAATCTAATTTTAACTAAAAAATAATTAAGAGTGGTTTTTAGCAAATATGTAATGAATGTATTAGATTTCTGAATTCCCATATTAGTTTTATTTATAATTCTCGACCTAACAGAGGTGGTACTATTTTTCTAATGGTAGTGACAATCATTAAATAAAATTTTATTTAATATCCTTTTTCAAGAAATATAAAACATATGCTTAGCACAACCCAATCCTATTTCTAGTTCAAATTCATATAAAAAGATGCATTTAATAACATGATTATTTTACGCGATTGCACGTGCCATAGATATTATTCCTAATATCTATTGTCCGTATTAAATATACAATATTCTATCTATTGTGAGTCTCTCAACGCTACAAATGGACAATGAGGTATCTAAATGATAATCAACCATATAACACAATGTAGATGCATAAATAATCAAAAAACGTAAGAAATTACTGAATTAACGATTTTTGAATTAAAAACTATAACTAATAAGGTTCATCATCCATCCAATATAATGAAAAACTTAGCCTAACATTTATATAATTAAATTACATAAGAATAATTTGAAAAACATCACGCGGAAATAAGAAAGATGGAANTGAATAAAAAACTATAACTAATAAGGTTCATCATCCATTCAATATAAAGAAAAACTTAGCCTAACATTCCTATAATTAAATTACATGAGTAACTGGAAAAAATTTCCTTAAAATAAGAAAGATAGAAGAAGTAGGAAAAATTCACGTTCTTTGCTCAAATTTTTCAATCAGGGTTATGGCAATTTTTGTATGATTTGCATTGAATTGATATATATGCTTGTTCTTCGCCTCCAAAATGCGTAGAATATTATGATGAAATTGAAGTTGAATGGAGAATCTTTTCATTCTAGGTGTGATTTGGTATTTATAAGATCCTGAAAAGATTGTTTTCATATAGAGTTACATAAAAGGAAGGAAACTAAATTTTTCGCCTAGAAAATAGCCTTGTAGTAGCATGGTATTAGTGGTTGCACCACATAGAAGGCTGCTAAATGAGACCGGTTGCTGATTCGGGGTCAAGTGTGGCCGCACATAGAAAAAGCATTGTGGTTGCATGGGGAAAAACCGCCACTAGAGCGAGCTCGCGAGTGCTGAGCAATTTTTTGTATTTTTATCATATCATTTTCTTCCAATATAAATCATAGGGCTACAATTTTTATTTAGATATAATTTTCCAATTCGATTGTTTTCTATGTAAAAAATGAATCTTGATCTGAGGTTGAAAATTTGGAACATAACTTTTTTATGCTGGAATTTGATGTGTGATAATGCTTTGACTATATTTTATCCATTTAACATCTATCTTCATCCAATTGACCCATAACACTATCGAATCTTTATCATGAGATCCGACACAACTTTTAAGTATGTTGCAATTTAGTCCCTGTAGTTTAAATTTTGCTATTTTTTCCTCTATTTTTCACTTATTTTCTCCATCCTTTCATCAAATCATGAGTTTTACCCGTTAAACACAATATAACATAAATTAAGCTATATTTCATTGAAAGGACTACAAAATGTCATTATTTAAAAGGATAATTGCAGCAGACTTTGCCCAGACCTTTCGTTTGTGACACACACGGTAACAAACATTTCAAAATGTCGCAGCTAAAGTCCAAATGGATGATTTTCATTAGTTTGACAATTAATTGACCAAAAAATTGATTTTGACAATAATTTTGACTAATTTTAAAAGGTTAAAATGGTAACTTTATATTTTTTTAGAATAAAATAACTAAAATCAAATAATTAAAATTAAAAAAAAAACCAACTTCATCTTCTCCACCTACCTCACACATACCCACCCCGACCCCCACCCCCACCCTAAAACAGTCACCACCATTGCCATCTCCTCCACCGTAATCAATAACTACACATCTACTCACCACCAAAACCATCACAAGTGACGATGTACTTGAAGATCTAAGAGGAGAGGAACATGGGTTTCTTCAACTTTTGCAGCCATTAAAGTTCATCTTCCCAGAACAAATCTTGTTATGTTAAAAAATTAGGAAAATGGTACATATTTCCACCATTAAAGTTGATTTTTCACTCACTTCTTCAAATTCTCCCCATTTTTCTTCTTCACAGTAAAGGGAATCAACATGCCTCCATATACAACTTGACGAAAAAGCTACGCTCAACATGCCCACCATCATCCCCCATCAAATCATTATCATCGTCGCTGCTATCAATGACATCACTGTCGTCGTCCGTATATTTGGTTCTGATAAATTCAGTTGCAGCCCCCAAAGCCTTCTGCTGGCTTGTTTATCCAAGGATATTTCATTTGCTTCGGGGGAAATTAAATTTTGTGTTTGATTGGAAGGTGTTTCGAAAGGAACCCAGATGGTGGTAGGTGTCGGAGGTGTGGCTCATGGCCATTCAGTCCCAGCGGAAGGTTTTGACTCTAGGTTAGGGCTTTTGTTTGTTTTTCGACCTCTTCTGTGTTTGGGTGTTTTCTCTTTCTTGAATTGTGTGGTGTTGGAAGGCTAAACGCTGTCCGGGGTGGGTGCGACAGCAGTAGAGACAGCAGCGTGTCTAGGTAGGCCCTGGTGTAGCGACCGAGAACTTTTAAATAATATAAAATTAGTTTTCTCGAAAAACGTGTCGCTCAACTTTAACCCTAATTTTAAAGAGAAAACGCGTTCATCTAGCCGTTGTAAACGAAT